ATACACCCCGGCTTATCGTGTAGCGGTAGCTTTCGGAAAGGTGGAAAACATATATTTAATAATTGCGCCGGGTATTTAATGTTCGGCTCCGCCCGAACTTAGACTTTCTTACTTGTTTATTTAGTATTTCGATATCAAATTCGGAATCAGCGATGTTTTTTAAGAAAATCTAAACCCTTTCCAAGTTTTAGGCCGCCATAATGGATGCAATTTTTTTGTTTTAGCTCAATATCAATTTCTGAATCTTACCGAAAACTGACATTTTAAACATGCAATTTTTAAATACATATGTATATTTCACAACTAAAAACAAATTTTTATTTCAAAGCCATTATTTGTACGAACGTCGCACAGTGGTTCCAAATTAGCATTTTGCATTCATAATTCACTGGAGCGTTCATTTTTCACAGGGTTAAAATTTGTTTTTCGAATAAAAAAAACATGATAGTTCTTTTGTATATACACCTTTGTCTCATGCCGTTGATAACAAAAAATAACAATAAATACTATAAGTTTCAAATTTGTAAAACATATTATTAGAGCTTTATTAAAATAAAAATTATAAATAATACAGTCCACATCTTATATTTTTTTGTATATCTATATCTACTTATAAACAATTTTTTTTTTAATTTCCAGAACTTTTTAGTTCTTTGTTAAACATGTTCAATAATTCGAACTTTTGTATCTTCCCAGACGAAGTTTTTGGATATTCGTCAACGAAACGCACATAACGAGGCACTTTGAAATGCGCTATTTTGCCCTTACAAAAGTTCTTAACTTCATCAACCGTAAGTACTTTAGCTCCAGAGCGTAAACGTAAATAAGCACAAATTTCTTCGCCCATGCGCTTGTCAGGAATACCAATTACCTGAAAAAATGAACAAATCCTTTATTGCCAATAGTAAATAAATAAAAGATAATATATACCTGCGCTTCTATAATATCCTCGTGTGTATCCAGATAGTCTTCTATCTCTTTAGGAAATACATTTTCTCCACCACGTATGATGACATCTTTCTTACGTCCAAGAATGCGGCCCACACCATTAGGTTCCAGTATAAAAGTGTCGCTGTGAAATTTGAAAACAAAATAATACGCAAAAATTAAGACAGAATAGTTTGCAAACCCTCTTGCTCAACCCTCACCCAGTCTTGAGCCAGCCATGCTTATCCAGCACTTCTTTGGTTTTCTCGACATCATCGTAATATTCAGTCATCACAAAGTATCCACGAACACACAATTCACCCACTTCCCCGAAGCGTACTGTCTCCCCTTTATCGTCGATAACTTTAGCCTCCGCGTGTTGCAACAAACGGCCAACAGTTTGCGCTGCTTCCTCTTCGCTCTCTGTGCCATCCTGCATAAAGGAGGCCGCAGAGTTTTCTGACATTCCATAGCCGATGTAAAAGTTTTTTAGAGCAAACATTTTTTTCGTTTGAGTATAGATTTCTGGCGTGCAAGCCGCCCCACCGACAATACCTGTCTCCAGTGTATGAATTGGCTTATTCAGCTCGCGTTGCTTCTCCAACAGATCGACATACATGGTGGGCGTGCCGAATATCATATTACAGCCTTCGGCAGCCACACTCTCAAGCGCCGCAACACTGTCGAACCGCGGACTGGGGAGCACCAATGTCGCGCCATGACTTAAGGCGGACATCACGACGCTCAAACCGAAGATGTGAAAGAAGGGCAATGTAAAGCAAATAGTTTTATGCGACTTGTGTAACTCATAAAAGAAACCGAACTGATGGCCTTGATTTAAGTAGGAAAAGTGACTAAGTAACGCCACTTTGGGTACGCCAGTGGTACCTGAAGTGAATTGTATATTGCAGTCGCTTTCCGGCGCGATGAGCTCAACATTTTTATTCAGTGCGCTTATATCTTGTAAATCAGCTTTGCTGCGGCTCAACTCCTCCCAACTTTGGAACTCACTGAGCGGCGTGTCACTTTGCACAACTACATGCCTTAAATAGGGAAATTTCGGATCGTTAATGGGACGGCGGCCATTTAAACTCGTGCTCGGCAATAATTCTTTCAAAATTCCATAGAAGTCTTGCAGGCCACAGTTGGCCTTCGTAACGAGCGTTTTAACGCGCGCCTTCTTGAGTGCATATGCTATTTCTTGCGCCTGCAATGCTGGATTAATGCAAGCAACTGTATAACCAGCCAGTGCAGCTGCCAAGTAAGTGATGTACCACTGGGAATTATTTGTAATCCAAAGTCCCAAATGATCGCCGCGCTGCATGCCGAGTTCGTTGAGTTTCACTGCAAGATTTTCCGCTTCATTTTTAACTTCAGCGAAAGTGTAACGCTTGTTTTCGTGCCTCGAAATTAGCGCAGGCCGCTCGCCATACTTTGAAGCGGATATCTGTACCTGTTGTCCAAGCGTGCGATAGAGCAAAGGTTCGTTACCCACCTGGTGGAAATAAGCTCGGTCCGAATAGCTGAAAGTAAATAGTTCATTGCGCAGGTAAGTGAAATTTTTTGTATATAGTAGTAAATTTTCCACTAACCATCTTCGATTATTCAGTTGAATTTGATAACTTGCCGATCTGACAGCATTTAATTGGGCATTTACTTGTTTGCAATGTCCTATAGCACGCAAAAGTGTCAAACGAATTTGCATGTTGAATATCAAGTAATTTATATATTTACTCTTGCGCGATATACTACTATTGGACTTAGACCGGCTCTTTGTGATAGCGAACAATGAAAAGAGTAGCTTTTGAAAACGAGTGTTGACTTCTCCACGACCGCCTACAGACTAATTGTAACAGCTCAGCTGTATGGGCGCATAGCTTTTGTTAATGGTAGCACGATACCCATATATATATATTTAGAATGTATTCTGAATGAGAAAAATAGCAAACCTTAAATGCGCTCATTCTCGGTGTTAATACTCCAGAGTGTTGCGGTTTGCCGATAATAGCTGCTATGGCTAGAACCTGTGATGGAAAAGTAGGTACAATTGTACTTTTAAATTTGCAAGTATATTCGGTACAACCACAGCATTTTAGGTGCATTTGGAAAGTAGCCAAACCACATTTCGACGAATCTAGATTAAGAAAGGAAAAAAGGCAAAGGTAAAAATAAAAACAAACAAGTAAAGAAGTATATGTAAATTCGGGCGAAACCGAACTTCATATACCCGGCGCACCTTTCAGCAAGAGCATTTTTCCCAATGTCAAACAGTTTTGATAATATGCTATGATATATTGAAATAACTGTACCAAGTTTGATGGAAATCGATAATTCGGTTATCGATATACACTTACATAGTCATAAATGGGTGGGGCCACGCCCATTTTACAAAAATCAATAATCTTGTGTCTTGTTAAAAGATTCTTGTAAATTGGGGTATTTAGTTATTGAAATATCGGAGTTTTCGTATTTCTGAAAATTACCGTTATATGGTAAAAGGCAGTAATTTTAGTCTGATTTCAAAAATTTTCAACATATCCCCGATATACCGACCGTTGACTGGAAGGTATTGAGCGTGGTCAAGTCATTGTCAAATTAGGGTGGTCAACACTCATCCTTTTATCCTCCAGATAAATAAGATGCCCGAATACATCCTTTATGGTCGATTTGGCAAGATTTAGGTAGCGTAAACTTTCTCGTAAAAAAGGGAAACCTTGCCGAAAACAATATAAACACGCTAGAGTTGAGAAGAATCTTGGAATCGAAGAGATCCTAAAATCCTCCCTCAATATGCGCAATGTGGATACCGGTGAGCTGGTCACTGCATATAAGTTTTAAAGGGAGCCTAGGGGTAATACTTAAGACCCTTCAAATAAATCTCCACAAAAGTAAAATTGCCTCATCCGAGCTTCTCCTCAACTTAGAGTCACCTCGCTTGCTTCGGTTATACTAGTATGCAGACGGCTATAGTAGTAAAAGCAGGGCTGCATAACTATATAAACAAAAAATCGTTTCGTTTCGTTTCGTTTCGTTATTTATTAAAAAAACAACTTATCAAAAAATTTCATTTGCTTATTATGAATAAACAAAATATGAAAATAAAAATAGTTTCGTTAGTTATCAAAAAATTTTAACGAAAAAAATTTCGTTTCGTTGATTATCAAAAAGGAAATATCAATAGTTTTTTTGTTTCATTATTTAAGAAGAAAATTGTAAGCAAAATTTATGTAGGAGTACGTAGCATTATGGGATTTCTTTTTATTAAATAATTAACAAATAGTAAACAAAACGCTGTTAAGAAATTATGCGAAAACTAATTGAGCCGTAACATTAACATCGCTTCAGTGATATCATCACTCAAACCTGACCTATAGTCATTAATTATATATTTTAAAGTGGAGAACGCCCGCTCTACACTAACTTGCGTAGCGGGAGTTGCATGAATAATTTTGTATAGCTGGTACAAGGTACTGTGAGTAAATTTTTTTGACTCCCAATAGTCTGCTAAATTGGCCTTCAAATCGCAATTTTCATTGAATGCTTCTATGATTGAAAATGCCTCTGTGGTATTTTCGCTTCTTGGTTCGTATTGGGAGATTTGGTTTAGTAGTGTGCCAAGCAAATTGTCACTGTCTTCATGTACTTCACTACTTGAATTAGCAGCAGGCTCTTGCGTCTGCAAAAAGATGTCAGAATACTTGCAATTGTATCTTTATATTTCAAATCATAGAGATCAAACATATATATGTACATACATTGTTGTCATTTCCATGAATTTTTAAGTAGAGAGCCTTCAAATGCGCTACTGCAACTGATTTTAAAGGTGCGAATTCTGGACTGTGGAGTAACCGTCTCAGTCGCGGATCAAGATAGATTGCTGCCGCCACGGTTGGGTTTTGGAGCAAGTTATCTTTCCTCTGGTTTAAAGACTGCAACAAAAGTTTGGAAATGTGATATTTGTCCGCTTCTTTCTTTACAACAAGAATCATTTCCAAATAGGTTTTAATGAAGTCTCCAAATAGCAAATTTTTTTCTTGCAATTTTACGGTTGTCTTTTTAATTATGCTGAAGCTGCTTAAAAATTCATCTACAAATGACCAGTCAATATTGGCTTCTTTCATATTTTCTGAGATGAATGTGTCTAAGTTTCTCAACCGTTTAAGTAACTCATACGAGTAAGACCAACGAGTTGGACAATCAGCTGTGGGAGGCAATAAATTTTGTGACGATATGAGTCTGTGCATTGCTGGCGTACGCAGCTTTCGCACTACATTGCGGCATTCTCTAAAACAGTTTTTAATTTCTTCATTTTTAAAAACGTCGTTTACGCTTAGCTGTATGGTATGCGCGGCACATCGTATAACTACAATTGACTCTAAAAATAAAATTATGTAATGTACACAATACTATTATTAATATAGCTGTTATAACACTAGCCTACAGTTTAAGAAAATTATTTGATTTATATACATATATATTTCATTTTATTTTATTTTATTTTATTTTATTTTGTTTTGTTTTGTTTTATTTGATTTTACTTAATTATTATTTTTTATTTTATTGTATTTTTACTATTATTTTATTTTACTTTTTTTCAATTTAATTGTACTTTGTTTTTTTTTTTATATTATTATTATATATTTTATTACAATTATTATTTTTTCTTAATTATCTATATTTGGTTTTAATATTTTTTTATTTATTTTTTTTTTATTAGGATTGATATTTAATTTTTTTAATTTAATTTGTTTGTTTTGTTTTTTTTTTTCTATTATTTTTTAAGTTAATATTATTTCATTTTTCTTCTTTTTTTATAGTACTGTAAACTAGTTTTATTGCTACTATTATTATTATTTAATTGCTTACGAAAATTTTGCGAAACACAAGTGTCGAATTCTAGATCTTCAAAAATGGTTTCGAAACTTTCAAAAAAGGCATCGTCGACATCTTCTGATGGATTTAGTAAAGGCATTTCTACTTCCTTACTTTCGTGTTGCAGGAGGTTTCCGCAGCTGACCATGTTGCTGCCGTTATCACTTGTGATACTGCACACTTGACTAATTGTGATATCATATCTATTGAAATTTATTAAGTTAAAGTAATAAGTAAATAAATTTTGAATGTTGAATTTTCAACAAAAGTTAGATAAGTAATTAAGTATGTATGTATGTACATTAATTTTAAAATTAGAAAACGCTAATGCTACAAAAAACGCTTTGCTATCTTTAATATCAAGTAATTATTGACACATACCTTTCTAGACTTTTCAAAATTAGTTCTTTTAGGTTTCTTGCGGTGTGTTTTTCACGAAAATTATTTACTGCCAACGTTTTTATGGTAATTTCTCCATTTAGTAAATATTGCGCATTTAAGCATACCACGTTACGAAAAAGCCGCTGGGCACTGTCAATTTTTATAGATATTATGCGATTTTTTAGTGTTGTTTTTAAATTGTTAACTTCATTTGTATGTTTTTGCATTAAAATCTCCCCTATATTATTACGGGTAATTTTGTGCAAACTTAATTGTCGACATATTGGCGTAAATAACTTTTGAATAGTGTTGGTATTAAAAAATCTTAAGGCTACACCGCATTCCGTAACGAAACCCGCGCAAATATCTTGCACGTCGTTTTCACTTAGCTCAAGCTCAATTTTAATTTTTTTTCTTGCTGGGTCGTCAGCATTTTCGCTTTGCTGTACTTGTTGCTGCTGCACTTGCTCGTCCTGAAGCCTTCCAAAGGCTTCCTTATGTCTTCTGATCAAATGGCTTTTGAAATTTCCCAAGTGATCGCTTGTTAATTTCGTTTGGCAAAATTTGCACACAAATAACCCCTCTCCAACTAAAAAGCACGATCGGACTAATTCGCCTACTTTTTTACGACCCATTATTCCCGCAATTGCTTCAAATAATAAAATTTGCCTGTTTATTAAATTTTATGTTTGCGGCAGAAAAAATTTTCCTTTTTTGATATTTTTTTTGATAATCAACGAAACAAAATTTTTTGTTGACATATTTTTCTGATAATTAACAAAACGATTTTTTTTTGATAAACACATAATGTTAACATTATCGATGTAAAAAACCAAAACGATTTTGAATTTTCGTTTATTGATAAAATTAACGTTAATGTGCAGCCCTGAGTAAAAGGCAGGGACCTAGATACTATCAGTAATGTAATTAACAACGCCCTTCAAGTCGTTAATCAATGGGCATCTCGATTGAGCCAGGGGCAGAAAAGCAAGAAGATATAAGGTCCCAGGGTGGAGATCTCCGAGGCTAAAGTGGTCAATAAAAAACCACAAAGTATTTTGGAGTGTTGGAGTGCAAGTGGGTGCCGGGATATACAGTCGAGAACTGAACGTCAGGTGGGCAGTGGTTGCCTGACCACTATAGCATATTTCAATCAGAGGTTTTCGCAATGAAACGACAATCAAGTGAACCTATACGTAGAGAGTCAGGCGGCAATTAAGGCAGTTTCCTCATATTGTATTTCAACCAAACCGCCATTCGCAGCCGGGAGGCCATTTACAGACTAGCCACCGACAGAAAGCTGCATATACATAAATTGGGTGCCCGGCCACAAGGGATTAGAGGGTAATGAAATATCAGATGAGACTGCCAAGACTCTCGAGCAGACAAAATATATTCGTAGACCACTCCAACACTTGTATAACGAAATGGACGATAATATGATTAGGCAGTTCATGGCTAGTTGGAATGTGTTAACCACCTGCAAAACTGCAAAAAATTATGTGCGAAAACGGTGGAAACAACTATATTCGCTTCTTTTTCCGGCTACCAAAAGAAGGCTGCAAAATTATTACCGGATAGCTTACGGGGCATATCTTGGTGGCTGCTCATGCACAAAAAATGGATATCAATAGCGTGGAAGGTGCAGAAAGTGTCGTGGGGGAGGAGACCGATTCGGGAATTTAGAGGACATCTCAAAAGTAGAGCACAAAATTCTACTGAAAGTCTCAAAAACCGGTGACATCCTTGTGATGTCTACTTCAACGCGTAAAACCGAGCTCCAACTGGTAATATTACCTACCTACCAGTCTTTGTGCAGCCAACGATGGCCACATTAAGTTAAGCTAACCAAGCCTAACCATTCATGTCCTTGTTGGTTAATGACGCAGAAGCATGGACAATGACAACATCCGACGAGTATTGGAGATAAAGATATTGCGGAATATTTACCGGACTTTGCGCATTGGCGACGACGAATACCGCAAACGATGGAACGATGAGCTGTATGAACTTTGCGACGATATATGGATCTTGAAATGGTATAGCGGCTCCTAGGGACACGATATAGAACAGAAACTATCGATATGGTACTCATTTAAAGTATCGCCTTAAAAATATCGGGTACCCATTAATATCGCAATAAAGGCTCGATATTCCAAATATCGATACCAAAATCCAAAAAATTTATCTAAATATAGGTCTCGTATACAGGCCGCTGTGGTGTAATGGTTAGAAGTGCGCAAAGCTTGAAAATGAAAAACCGCTTTCCAGTAAAACATAATCGCCGTTCAGAGTCGACCTAAAACTGTAGGGACCCCTTATGTGCCAAAACATTAAGGCGCGCGCGACAAATTGGAGGAAAATCTCGGTCAAACACTAACATATTGTGTAACAACACGTAGAGATTGAGGTATTGACTTAAAACACCAACATGCAATCCTTACTATATTAGAAATTTCTGCTCTTTAAAGTCCAATTTATATCGGGAAGAATTGTTAATAANGCGACAAATTGGAGGAAAATCTCGGTCAAACACTAACATATTGTGTAACAACACGTAGAGATTGAGGTATTGACTTAAAACACCAACATGCAATCCTTACTATATTAGAAATTTCTGCTCTTTAAAGTCCAATTTATATCGGGAAGAATTGTTAATAACATTATCTGTGTAATGTGAGTTTACGCCTTTCGATACGATACTAGGGTTCTGGTACTCGATTCCAAAAAAGATCGTTTAAAAACTATCGAGTAGAAATTATCGGTGTCGAATGCCAAAAGTATCGATATGGTATCGTATCGTATCGAAATTCGTGTCCCTAGCGGCTCCGCAGTCTCGATCATATCGTATAAGTGGCCAGGAAATGGTCCAGTCCTCAATGCATTCATGTGGTGCCCACTGGTGGTAGCAAAAGCCGACGCCAGCTAGCACTGAAGAGAAACCATTGGCCTGCTCCATTGAACTCTGGCCGGCCCGTCGACTGGTCGGCTGCCATATTAGGAAATGTATTCGACCACCATTTCCAGTGATCATATTTTCTAATGTTTACACCTGGTATTTATGACAGCGCTCAAATTTACATATGGGTGTGATACAAACAAGGAATACCATTTGTTTTGTTTAACGTTTTTAGGCTATTGTATAGCACATAATTAGCTCTATATCTAACCGAAAAATGAAAACAATCCAACTGCTTGGTCCTGAAATATAAGCATTTAAAGAGAGTGTCGTTACGTGACAAAAAATGGAAGTAGATTTTTTCTTTTCTTACAAAATCGCAAAACTCTGCGAATTTTGGATGGCTATTTTCATGAAACTTATTTTAATATGATTTGGAGCAATTCTAGTTGTTTTTAGAGTTTTTTGAATTAATGCAACTTGTTTCAATTTTCTTTTACAACCCCAAGTGTGTAACGTCACGTGACGTAGCGTCCCGTGACATAAATTTCCATCGTTATATTTTTGTTAATATTGCTTTTAAATGAATTTTTAACGCAAATAAAACATGTATTTTATGTAGAATATACTTTATATTTTGACTTCAGCGCCAATTCAGGGTTAATTTGTTGGAAATCTATGACTTATTATGTTTCAACTACATACGCCAAACTCGAACCAAATCGGACCATAAATACGGTTTTTCGAAATATCTCAATCTTGGCGCCACTTAGGAAGACCATTTTACGCAAACATGATTCTACTTACATAGGCAGTATATATTTTAAAAAGCAGCCAAATCGGCCGTTAGATATAAGATTTTTATTTTTTTTTTGTCGTGGTGGACCTTCCGATGGAAACACCCATATACACATTGGACCTACATCTGTATGTATATTTATGCTTTTAGTATATGCGATAAAAAAATGACAATTTGATATGAAAATGCTTAGTTCTATATAATATGTATTATAATTAATAAGCATCTGCGTATGTATGTATTTTTATATGTGCATATAGTTAACATACATTCATTATAAGCATATGTACATATATATATTAATACATGTTTGAACGTATGCACATACATATATGTGTATAATTTCCCCGATGAAAAGCCGGCACCGCACTTAATACATATGTATGTATTAGTGATCATTGGGTATAAAATTAACCACAATTCTCTTACTAAGAGTGAAAGTGTACTCTTAAGAAATGGCATTGTACTAGGTTGGTCGTTTTTTTAGCCATTTTATATGACTATATATTAAATTAATTGGGAAAAAATTGTCATATGTAAAAAAAAGTAGCATTTCTTTCTATATACTATGAAAAAATAATACGGCCACTGAGCGTCATTTCAAAACGTCTTGAACTTCACGTTGTCGATAAAGTCGATTTGTGTTTTTTAATGATTGATTGACGCCGAACTTGCGCTAAGACAGTTGGTAATCTTCGGAAAACTATTTTTTTATCTTTGGATGAACTATTTTTGTTGGTGTTAAGAATAAGAAAATGTTGATCTTTGAGAGGGAACTCCTTTAAAGATTTACTGTTACTTGTCTGCTTGGAGTGGTAGGCAAATGTTTTGATTTGATATGATTCCCTCGATCATTGAGTTTTTCGAGCATTTTCAAAAATAAACTTTATTATACTATAATTGAATGGGCTATAAAACTGCATACGTAGAATTTTTCTAAAAAATTTGATTAGAAAGTTCCAAATTAGTACGCAAATTTCTTGAATTTTCCTGAGTTTTGCACAAAGTTCTAAAATCTAAAAATAGTATGAACTATATTTTTATTAAAAATAAGCGAAAAGGAAAACTTTGCATGTATTGCGAAAAATTCTCTGTGACAATACTTTTGTCCGGCATTGTATATATTTTAGTTTCAAGTGTTTTCAGCAATTTGTTTAGCAACTGTGTATGTACTAAATACATGGTACTTACTATTTTGATACAAATGTAAGTATGTATGCGTAAATCTATAAATTACAAATATAGTGCTCTCCGCTTCGCTATTTGTATGAAAAAAAATCAGTTGTGTTCCAACCATTGACGTAGCATGAATATGATCGATAGTGCTAGAAAATTAAAAAAAGCGCTACTGGTAAAACAATCGACAGTGAGTGTATATTTGTAATCAACATAGCAAAGCTGGTAGCGATTCATATCAAATACGAGAACGCGTCCAGGTGATTATTTTTTTTTTGTGCAAATAGTCGCATATCATTTGAAGAGCGGTTTGTTTTTTCATTAGTGATCGCAATCAATTTCTCTTTGCCGCTTCTTTAGATCAACTCAAGCATCATTAATCTCCTCAACGTGTACGAGTACTGTGAAAAGAATAATGATCAAACAACTACAACCGGCTTCTCTGCAATTTTACAAAAATGTACTCAGAGCGAATAGTCAACCACATACTCATTATTTGGGGCGTTGGTGAGTATAAATATGTAGCCATAAACGCAAGTCACTCTGTTTACGTTTTTTTTTTGATGTTTAATTTTTTATTGCTGATATGAATTTTTAATAGAGGCGAGCGCGCTGGAAGAATTGCGATAACTACTGCTAAGAATTGCTACCTAACTAGAATTACCTTTTTCAATTCAAAATAAACCAGTTGAAATACAAAATTCAACTCATATAAACCAGCGTTTCTCAATCTGTTATAGGTGTTATTTTTGACACGCGGTGGAGTAAAACTGGTTTGAAAGTGTAATGGTAGGGGAGCCCACGATGTTAAATCGAGATTTGTTCAAGCATTGTGGGGATTTTGAAAGTTAGCTGATAGAAAGAAGAGGCTTGATAAATACTTATTTTTATATTTCATTGTTTCAAAAAGAAGAATATATTTGTTCTATTGTGGGATCGAACATAACTGTTATAGATTCAATATTGTATCTAAAAAAGCATTGTTAAGGAAGCGTCCAGATAGGGATGTTCCGATACAAAGCATCATGAGCAAATGTCATATCTTGTCGGCCATATTTTTTCTATGGAAGAACCTTTTCACGGCGTCGTTTTTATGAAAAATAATTCCTTTAAGCAATTACACCACGAAAATCTAAAGTATGGATATATTTTTACAAAGTAGTGATACCACAGCAAAGGGCAAGCAATGCTTTGAAGCCGTAAAGTTTTGCGGGCACCTTTCAATGGTTGAGTTTTTAGTCTAAGTAATCGTATTACTTCCAGCGTTACTAATGAACAACTATACATATCGACACCTGAGTGGAAGACCGGCAGCCAGTTCGAAAGCGTCTATCTCAGAAAACATTTTATGTACGCCCTATTTCAGAATTTGGTTCAAAAACGCTCAACCTCAATTGAAAATATTTGAGATTGGACGTTTTTGAACCGAATTCCGAAATAAAATGTTCTTAAAAAGTCTTCAGGCGTTTTCGAACTGACTGCCGTGATAGGTCGTTCTTCCACTCAGGTGTCGCAAAAGGTAAGTCATAGATAACGCCTGAAAAATACTTTCGCTTTGTTATATATAAACCTCTTGTAACAATTTTTTTTACGCTCAAAAAATAATTGTTCTTTGTTGAGTTTTATTTTTTCATAAAAAAATAAAAGATATTTTCTGATTTTTATTATTTTTTCACAAAGTAAAACTGTAGTGCTCCAAACAAACAAGTAAATATTCAGCACTTAAGTTTTGTTTTGTAATTGAAAAATAAAACTCACCAAATAACTTTCAATTTGGGAACGAAAAATAAAACTTATCAAATAACAACTACATATATTGTAAAAGAGAAATAAAAATCACGATGCAGTTAGTATGTGTTGAACGCAAAATAAAAACTGAAACATAATAATTAAAACAAGTTTTTTGCTGTATAGCATAGAACTGTTACGTTACCTGGTTTTATTTCATTTTATATTTAAGACCATATTTAATTTTATTTTATTTTATTGTTTGCCTTTTTTAATTCAAGTTTTCTTTTAATTCTTAGATTTTGTTTAAAAATAAAAGTAGCTTTTTTTACATTTAATTAGTTTTTAAGTACTAACTTTTTTTTATAACATTTTTCTTTTTAAAATTTAATTTTTAGAATTTGTTGCAAAAAAAAATTTTTTTACTTAACTTTTTATTTTTTGCTTTATTTTCATAAAATTTTTTATTATTATTTGCTTTTATTAGTTTTTATTATTTTAAAAAATTTACGTTTTGTCCCCGAAACAAGAATAAAATCCCTTCCCTAAAAATTCAGCAAACTCGGGCACCCTATCTAAACGTTAGTCCAATATCCTACAGTGAATACAATTGGAAAATTGTATTCTGGGGACCAAATGCGCTTACAAAAATATTTGGAACGATTTTTCCCAAAAACCAATTCTGAGGTTTTTCTCCGTGAAAGATGCTTCCTAGCAAAGGGAGCCGTCCTAATCTTCCAGATTTATCAACCTTCTCGTTTATGTTACGAAAATATTATTATAGTTTAAACAGCCCCTAACGAAGATTGTCCAATAAATTTAAAGTTAAAATATTTACTTTTCAGCTTATCCACACCACCCGCAGTGTTTATAAAATCGCACAACTTTCATCCCGCGCATCTGCACCACATCGGCAAGGCCCCACTGATCTATCGGAATGTTGGTCAGGAGCTGGAACGCGCCGCAGCTGAATATGGCAGCACGGAATCTATTGTTTCATTTCACGAACAGAAGCGTTACACATTTCAAGGACTCATCGAAGAGGCCGATCGTGTTGCTGCCGGCTTGCTGAAGCTTGGCTTAAAACAAGGCGATCATGTGGGTATTTGGGCGCCCAACAATATGCACTGGTATCTGACACTGATGGGCGCAGCACGCGCCGGTTTGGTGTCGGTAAGTTGAAATATTGCAACAATTATTTTCAAGAGACTTTAACTTTATAGATTTTTTGTAGGTTGGCATAAATCCAGCATTTCAAGGACCCGAAGTGGAGTATTGCTTGAAGAAGGTTAAAGTGAAAGCACTGATAATGCCTGAAACATTTAAAAAACAAAATTTCTATGAGATTATAAAAAGTATTTGTCCAGAGTTGCCCGACCGCGTTGATGGAAGCATCAACAGCACCAGCTTGCCTCACCTGAAACATGTCATCATCGACACAGACAACAAATTGAAAGGCGCGCTGAGTTTTGACCAATTACTCGGCCTGAGCAACCCGGTCGAGCGTGAGGCTATCTCAAAGCTACAGCACCGCATAGTACCAGATAGCGGCTGTAATGTGCAATTTACTTCTGGCACCACCGGTCGACCGAAAGCAGCTGTGCTGTCACACTATAATTTTGTAAATAATGGTACGCATATCGGTAATCGTAATTTGTTGGACAGCAATTCACGTATCTGCGTACAAGTGCCTCTCTTTCACGTATATGGCGTTGTTGTCACTGTTATGGCTGCAATGACACATGGCAGCACATTGGTTCTGCCAGCAGCCGGTTTCAGTCCCGCCGACACGTTACGCGCCATTGTTGACGAAAAATGCACTGTCGTCCATGGCACACCCACAATGTATGTGGATCTCATCAAGAAGCAGAGAGAGTTGAAGTTACCATTGAAGACCGCAAAGATGGCTGTTACCGGCGGAGCGCCATGTTCGCCACAACTCTTTCTGGACATTAAGAATATTCTTGGTTTGGAGCGTATCCACACCGTTTATGGTTTAACAGAAACAACAGCAGTCGTCTTTCAGACGAGACCAGGTGATAGTATGGAACGAATCTTGAATACTGTTGGTCATTTACAAGATCATGTGGAAGTGAAAGTAGTTGATGGCGAGGGGCATACGGTACAGTTCGGTGAACCAGGTGAGCTGTATGTGCGTGGCTATGCTACTATGTTGGAATACTATGACGATGAAGTGAAGACAAAGGAAACTATCGGCAATGACAAATGGCTGAAAACAGGGTAGGTGTTAAAACGTCATACCATCATCTACTTTGGTTTATATATTGACTCTGCAGGCAAATGGGGGCATTGAATTGACCATTTTTGGCCTCTTTTGTATGGAGTAGGTTAACTACACGTACACAACAAATCTTACACCAGGCGCTCCTACTGCGAACTTTTTTTGTATTTTTTTTTTATTTTTTAGTCGATCTGCGTTGCAAAGGAAATCTTTTTTAATCTACCTTGGACTCTCAGTGCTAATTTAAGGTCTTATATTTTAACTAGCTTCTAAAGCGAAAGTCTCATTAACACCGCCTAGTCTGAAAACGTTTATTTAGAAGCCGACATTCTAGTCGGTTATTCTAATGTTTTAAAATTTCTTCAAGCACAACTCCTGGGAGTTGCTCGCAACGCTAAGTCTCAGAGCGCTCCTAGCTGCGACACTATTCTCGTATATTTCCGTAGGCGTGATGTCTTATTCATTTTCTAGGAAAAAATCTAAAATAACCCCAAGAAGTGCACTTATTTTGACAGTTTAACATTTACGGCATGAGTGATGGAGTTCGAAAATTGTCCATTTTATATCGCTACGTGAACGTAATTTGTTCAGATAGGAGGGATTTGTATTCACTGACTGTCGTGATGAACTAACCTACGACCAGGATGACTAAGTCCTCTGCGTACGCAACAAGTTTAGTGGATCTCGTGGTGCGAAGCAGAAGTACATTTATTACGAGGTTCCATTGGAGAGGAGGTAAAACTTTCGTGGAACCGTTTTCTTCATCTCTGCCATTTTCAAAGACAACCTAATGCTTCTGGTACTCAATGTACTGTCGATTCAAAGAAAGACTCAATGGACGTAATCCTTGAGGAATCTTGGATGAGTGGATGAATGCGAACTAAACATGGGTAAAGACGCCTTCCACATTCTGAGAAGCTGTCATGTTTTGGTATATGTATAGATAAGGATGATAGTTGTTAGTTAAGAAGTTATCGTTCGTTGGAGCCTGGCTGGTATGATTTCCTCTGTGCCCGGCGACTTAAGTGTAGGGTTGGAAGGATCTAGTAGCCCAGCTACCTTATCCTCCGTGACGATTTCATTGACTGCACTGCCTCGCATCTAAGTGCTAGGGATTGCTGGCACGAGATAGGCTGTATGTTCTTATATTGCCAGATCCCTCCGGGAAATTGGATGCTTAAGACTCCCAGCTTTTCCGAGAAGTTGGAAGGAGCAGAATTCTTCATTTCTATTGCGTGGCTTGGGCTACGATGCTTCTTTCGATCCTTGTATCGCAGATATGGTGCTGAAACTTCAGATATGCCACCCAATCTCCAGAATTCTTGGTATACTTCGCCCTGTTAAAAGCTTTCATAGCTGATGTTCTTAGTAGTCTTAGCGACGATGTATGTTGAATTAGAGATTAGCACTCAGGACGCAACCGCTGCCTCCAACTGGTAGGCTAAGTTCGTTTCTTCCGCGTAAGGAGATGATACTTCAGACACCACAGGCTAAAACTGTCTGTTCTGTGAGGGTTTTGAAAATTTTTTATCCACACGTGCCAGACCCTAAAAGCCCTTGCGCACATTCCGGTTACCCAGCAGCCGGTTTTCAAGTTACACGTTACCACTGTCAAATCCGCGGTGCTAAATTTGGGGGTAAAGACAAATTGTGCAAATAAAATTTCCCGTTTGACTGACTAACGTGTCTACAAAAAGGTCGTTAAATTGAAAGACTGACTTAACATTTCATAGCTAATTATAAGTTTTTGCTTAAGCATTTACATATTTTGCGTTACCAATATAAATTTAAATTATGAGCCAAATTAGAATGTTTTTAATAATGAGTCAACTCCAGGCACAACTTGTGATGAGATTTTTACGAACCTTGGGTTGTTATTCACGGACCCGCCAAGAAAAGGATTAACTAGATCGGTCAAGTCGATCTCAAGTGATGATGTTACATTTGTACAAACATGTAACATATGAAATTTCGGCTGCAAAAATTTTATTAGCACATTGCACATTGAATGGGTAGCAGCAGCAGGGTTGCAATTTGGTTGTTTTTCATTCGAAGTGGTCCATGAATTGCCATTTTTGTTTACTCAGAAATGTCACATTTCGTTTATTTTTTTTATATTTTAGAGTACAAAATCAACAAAAAAATACACGCAGCTCTAATGCAGTTACCTGTTTAATGTGGAGATGCTGTCTCTTTTTGTTATCACCACGTATTTGTGGTGAAATTTTTTTGACTTTCTCTTACTGAATACCCAAATCGTCTCAAATCACAAAAAGAGTTACTAATGTTTAGTCTCAAATTTAGTGACTTGAGATTAGACTGACTTACTGAATACCAGCATAAAATGGTTTAGAAACAGTACCTGAAAATCTACCTGATGCCGATCGATAAGCGTAGAGGCGTTTACTTTCATAATGCAAAGTTATGGCAACGAAAGCCGTAGTCTTCTATTGCATTGATTTTTCACTCATCCAAAGATATCTTTAATCACCTTTCATTGAAAAAACTATGCTATAAGACTGGGACTAATTACATTTCTTTCATTTAGCGATCAATTCATCTTGGAATCCGATGGTTATGGGCGCATTTTGGGACGTCTGAAGGAGATGATCATACGTGGGGGAGAGAATATTTTCCCCAAAGAAATTGAAGATTTTCTCAACTCTCATCCAAAAATCATTGAAACGCACGTGTGTACATATTTATTTTCAACCATTAATACTATATTTTTTCTAATACCTCAAACACCTTTTCTCTCACCGGCGCGCAGGTGATTGGTGTGCCTGATGAACGTTTGGGCGAGGAGTGTTGTGCCTTTGTGCGTTTACAAGATGGCGTGAAGAGCATTGCGCGTGAAGAAGTGAAGGAATTTGCACAAGGAAAGTTGGCGCATTTTAAAATACCGCGGTATGTGATACCAATAAATGCATTTCCTAGAACTACTTCGGGGAAAATACAAAAGTTCAAGCTGGCCGAGGAATATAACAAAATGCAAAGACAATAGCTGGTAGAATTATAGCTGGAGATGATAAAGTTAGTTGGTATTTGTTGTGCATCATTTTATGTACTCCTACATAATAAATCAAAAATAAAGTATTTTAATGAAATTCGTGAATCGCTTCAAGCTTTCCTCATTTTGCTGCTGGGTTGATGCGCCACTTTTACTCTAACTATTTGTAATCAGCACATTTATAAGTCGGCTCACTGATATGCAATCAGCTGCCTGATACGAGTAGATGACTGGCTAGAACAAAGATAAAACAACTCAGTGAGTACAGCCTACATACACTAAAATATGAGATCGTAAATATCAACAACGTCGGCGGCTCTTATTAATAAGAAACGCAGCTTGAGTGAACGCTAATTTCTTGTACACTAATACAAAAATAAATCTCATGTGCCAGGCTTTAGGCTACTGTATGTGGGCACGGCTTAATCAGTTGTTCTCGAGGCGTCTTTTAGTACAATCGCTTTCAGCGCAAAATAACATTCGAACCGGTAATTTAAAGCGCAAATGAAAGTAAGGGTGTATTCCAAAACGTCAAAATACAAAGCATAGTAGATTGTAATGTCAAATCTGCGCAACCGCGGTAAGATGCTACTTTTGCGCAAGTTTGACGTTCTCTTCTAGTGTGGTTTAGAAATAAGAGAGACTGATGCTTTGTATTTTGACGTTTTGGAATGCACCCTAACTTTGTCGCCTAGCGTGGGGTGCGAAGTGGAACGCGTGGCAAATGGCAATGAATTAAGGCTTATCATTGTTATCGAATTAAACTAATCTTGTGTATGCAATTTTTAAAGAGATTAACTACGTAAACGTGGCATAACTGTTTGGTGCATTATTATAGCTTTGCGTTTTATTTAATTCATTCGCGTTTTTACCTGCATAAAGTGGTCTGTAGGCGACATGCTTAAGAGGCAATTGCAAAGTATTTATCGAAATCTCAACAAACGAGTTCTTGCACCCAATGGGCATCATTCAGTATTTCTATTACGTTGGTGAGTATTTAATTTCAGTGTAGAAATTTTTGTTTTTGTGTTATAAATGTAGTCAAGAAATGAATAAGTGTATGAAGAAGTAATTCTTTGTTCGCTTATAATATGTATAGGGTGTGACCACTAAGTCACTTATCTCGGCAGCCAGTTCGAAAACGCCCTATCTCGGAAAACGTTTCAAGAACGCCCTACTTCAGAATTAGAAGAACGCCCAATTTCAGAATTTTATTGAAAAACACCCTATCTCAGGATTTGATTGAAGAACGCCCTATCTCACATTCCGGTTCAAAAACGCCCTATCTCAGCACATTTTCAATGTATTTCAGCGTTCATCAACCAAATTCTGAGGTAGGGCGTTCTTCAATCAAATTCTGAAGAACGGCGTTTTTGAACTGGGTAGGGATGAAACAATAAGAGTAAATACAAGTACATACTCGATACTTATCGTTCGATACTAAGTAATTTTGGCATCGATACTTATGAGCCAAGTTCTGAGTAGGTATCGAAAAAAATACTCGTATCGAAACCTGATACCAAGGCGATTTTCTTTCGGAAATTTTTAATCCACTAATATAAATCGTCCAGTGCTTTATGGATTTTTAAACGTCTGCGATCTTCAAATATTGAATACGTAAATTTTTTCCTAAAACCGGCATGAAATTAATTTTTTTACAGATATTTTTGTTGTTCTTGCATCAGGGAATTAATTTTGGTGGTGCCAAAATACCAAAAAAATCGATTCAAAATATTTTTTTTTGAAAGTTCATTGCTTGCTGTTATTAAGCCAAAAGAATAAAAATCCAAAGAAATATGGGTTTAAAACTTTTTAAAAACTTCTCTCCGTACTGGTTTCAGGCAAAAAAAAAAGGAAAATATTTAAACCATCTATTTTTGAAAGTCATTGTAAGTGTCAAGGTAATTATTCTACCACACGAGACCATTTTTCCTGAATATCCCATCTCGAAAGCTTCTAAACACCATACCGAGTTTGGTACAACGGTTACTGAGATACATATATGTGATCATAAGTGGGCGGTACCACGCCCATTTTCCAAAATTTTATCATAAACGTATTTCCTGGTAAAGAATTGTTGCAACCATCAATTTTGAATNCTAGCTTTAAAAAAGAAGCAAAGGATGACAAAGAAAACACTAAAATGTTCAACGTAGCCCAGCTCAGAAAATTCGTATCGAAATTTAATCTTTCTAGAGAACTCACCGTATAAAATCCGTTCACTTTTACTATAAGAGATATTCACCTGGAATTTTGTCAACTTAAAAACTTTTATTATTCGAAGTTCAGAATTCGCCGCGGATGATTAAATTATTACTTAAAAAATTTAATTTAATCCAGCTCATACGGAATACCTTCAGAGCCAAAAATACCGATACGAGTAGGTATCGAAACTTTAGATCCGATATCTAACGATACTACTTTCAAGTAAAGGTATCGATACCTGCATGGTATCGTTTCATCCCTAATAAGAATCTGACCTGTACTAATTTGTATTTGCGCAAATATTTGTGTGGTGTATTTTGCGCAATAATAGATATTCTGTTCTCTTTTTACTGCAAGTTAAATTATTTTAATATGTGTTGCAAAATTGTATTCAGACAACACTAAAGGTAGAAAATAAATAAAATAAAAAAACTTTTTAATATACCACGCTTTTATAAATAGACTAAAAAGTAGAAAATAATATTTCTCAGTCCCATAGAATTTGTTTTGATAACTTTTGATTTTGAAATTTTAGCAAAAGTCATTATAAACAATTTATGAGATTAAAAATGAAAAGCGTGGGGCGCATTTAATAAACTTGAATTGATATGAAAAGTAATATACATATGTATGTATGTATGCGGGTATATGAATAACGACCGCTTAAAATCGATCTCAAATTTATACTTCCGTTGTAGAAATTTTAGGTCTACATACATATGTTATGTCGTTTGACTATTGTCAATTAAATATAATGCTTTATAACGCATTCGCTGCACGTTTTTCGTTTTCAATCTCATAAATTGTTTATGATGACTTTTGCTAAAATTTCAAAATCAAAAGTTATCAAAACAAATTCTATGGGACTGAGAAGTATTATTTTCTACTTTTTAGTCCATTTATAAAAGCGTGGTATATTAAAGTTTTTATTTTAGAGAGCAGGGGCTGGATTCTGTAACAGTGAGAAAATGCAAACCAAAACTCATATTTTCTCAAGTGTACACTTTCAGGTTTCAAGCGATTCTCTAAACCACTGTGTAAATATTGTGCTGAATATCGCGCTGAATGTAAAAGTCATCTGTCAGTGAGGAAATATTATGATCAACAAAACAAATGAAGAACAAACTAAATAAACTAAAAACTAACATTGAAAAACATAATGGATTTAATGAGTCTTCGAGACGAAAGACTGCTATTCCTACGTATATGAAAATGTTGTCCGCTTTGAGATATTTTGCCACCGGAAGCTACCAGCGCCCGATAGACAAGATTTTTTGTCCTGTTTATTACAAACGACTGTCAGTAGATGTGTTGAAGAAGTCAAAACCATTCTCAACACTGTTCAAGCGACTTACGTGCGGTTTCCAAATGAAGCGGAGGAACCTGGGATAAAAGCGGAATTTTACCAAAAATATGGTTTCCCGGGTATAATTGGCTTAATGGATTTGAGTCACATCAAAATTATAGCACCTAAAGGAGATCTAGAAAGTTTATACTACTGTAGAAAAGGTAAGTTTTTTTACTGTCAATTTGAAAAGTTAAACTCAGTCAATTGTGTACATCTATAGGTGGTCATTCCATCAACTTATTACTTATTTCGATTCAAAACACCAAATTTGTCATGCCAATGCGTAGTTCCCAGGTACGTCGCATGATGCATACATCTGGCGGACTTCGGCAATTCAAAATTATCTAAAAGGAAAGTACACGAGAGGTCATCGTAATTACTGGTTGCTAGGGGATAGGGTATTTCCACTCCAACCATGGTAGATGACTCCTATAGCTAATCCAGCAAATGAAGAAGAAGAAAAATATAATGTGGCACATAAGAGAACGCGCTGCATAGGAATTTTAAAAGGCCGGTTTCGATGTTTATCTCGACAAAGAACTTTATGCTATGGACCAGAAAAAGCAGGAAAAATAATAAACGCTTGTATAGTGCTCCACAATATCCTATTAAAAGCTAATGTTCCAGTAACCGAAGCAATTGAAACAAATATAGATTTAGATGAATCCAATGAAAATATTTCAATATCACAAAACCACTTACAAACACAAGCAAGAACTACCAGACTGCGAATAGTAGAAACTTACTTCCATTAGACTTGCCTTAAAATAAAATCATAAAATAAACATTTAATGTACTAAATAAAGCAAATTTTGTTTTTTTATCAAAATTCTTTTAATTTTAATCTTATGTTACAGTCGTAGAGCTCTGCAAACATTTCTTCTCCGGTATACTAAAATGAAAGCGTGAATTTGGGGTGGTGGTAAATTTATTTATGTATGAATTTAAATACGTTATATATGTACACAACTACATAATGTTCTTGCTGAGGTCGCATCTACTTCTGTCACGGTAAGTAATTACAACATTCTTGCAGAATCTTTTAAAGGGTATTTATTTTATAGCCAATCAATTTACCTCGCTTTTGGTAAGTGCGGCTATTCACAGGGCTTCTCTATGCTTTACGTGGCTTCTATAAATAAAATATGGGTATTCGTGGAAACGCGTAAATGCCTCGTAACCGCGTAAACCTCGTAAATAACCCGATTTTCTATACAAAATTAAGTAAGTTTACCAGGGTTACATCGTAACGAGCCATTTGCGCGTTTAGATGAATTACCCTAATGTATTCAATATATGTGCAGGCAATATATGTATGTATGTCGACTTACCGTATATTTGTGTATTTTTGTTGCTCTTTATATTCTATATAAATAAATAATATAAAAAAAAAACTTTTTAATATACAACGCTTTTATAAATGGACTAAAAAGTAGAAAATAATATTTCTCAGTCCCATAGAATTTGTTTTGATAACTTTTGATTTTGAAATTTTAGCAAAAATCGTTATAAGCAATTTATGAGATTGAAAATGAAAAGCGTGGGGCGCATGCAATACAAAGCATTATATTTAGTTGACAATAGGCAAACTACATAACATAGACCTAAAATTTCTTCAGCGAAAGTACAAATTTGAGATCGATTTTAAGCGGTCGTTATTCATATATCCACATACATATGAACATATATTACCCTTCATATCAATTCAGGTGGCTTTTAGCAACATGTTGTTTTCCTCCATTAGTTTCAACTTCTTTAGCTCTATTTCTAAATATTCACCTTCAAATTAATTTGAGCCGGTTTTCCTTTTCCTCATCGACGATGATCGATGAGGAGGAGATGGTGGCAGTGGGAGTGCAAGTGGTGTTTGCGGCTCCGCTAAGGGTAATACCTGCCCGGTATTGATTGCCTCACTCTCACTCTTTAAAAACTCAAGCTCCATTTCTGGTTGCTAAAGTTAAAAAAAAAAACATTTGGTTACAAACTACACATTGTTTCCTTAATATAAAAAGGTCCTTTCTAATGCTTTTGTTTCTTTACAGCGAACTTATCAAAACTTAAGTTCTTTAGTTTCGTATTTCTAGATAACACTGGTTTATTTTAAACTCTGAAACTATCTTATTGATGTAGAGTTGTTTTTAAATTCAATCAATTAATTGGTTAGTAATGCACCCGTACAAAGTAAAATTAGTTAGGGCCTCTCCATAATTAGGTAACGATATGTGTTTTTTAGTGCATTAGTCTTAAAATATTCATATTACCGTCACATTTAGCATTTCAGGAACGTTGTCGTTTCCCGTGATGACTACTGCAAATTGCATGCCAAATGGAGAAGGTCGAACACTGATTTCGCGTGGGCAANACCCGTACAAAGTAAAATTAGTTAGGGCCTCTCCATAATTAGGTAACGATATGTGTTTTTTAGTGCATTAGTCT